AACAATGTGACTGATGAAAGAGAAATTAAGGAATCAATCCCATTTACAATTGCACAAAAACCCATAAGATACCTAGGAATAAACCTAACCAAAGAGGCAAAGGATCTGTACTCAGAAAACTATAGAACACTTATGAAAGAAATTGAGGAAGACACAAAGAAATGGAAAAACGTTCCATGCTCAAGGGTTGGAAGAACAAATATTGTTAAAATTTCTATGATACCTAGAGCTATCTACACATTCAATGCAATCCCTATCAAAATACCATCGTAATTTTCCACAGAGCTGGAACAAATAATCCTAAAATTTGTATGTAATCAGAAAAGACCCTGAACAGCCAAAGAAATGTTGAAAAAGAAAACCAAAGCTGGTGGCATCACAATTCCAGACTTGACGCTCTATTACAAATCTGTAATCATCAAGACAGTATGTTACTGGCACAAAAAGAGACACACAGATCAATGGAACAGAATAGAGAACCCAGAAATGGATACTTAACTCTATGGTCAACTAATCTTTGACAAAGCAGGGAAGAATATCCAATGGAAAAAAGACAGTCTCTTCAATAAATGGTGTTGGGAAAATTGGACAGCCACATGCAGAAGAATGAAACTGGACCATTTCCTTACACCATACACAAAAATAGACTCAAAATGGATGAAAGACCTAAATATGAGGCAGGAATCCATTAAAATCCTAGAGGAGAACACAGGCAGCAACCTCTATGATCTCAGCTATAGCAACTTCCTGCTAGACATGTCTCAAAAGACAAGGGAAACAAAGGCAAAAATGAACTATTGGGACTTCATGAAGATAAAAAGCTTTAGCACAGCAAAGGAAACAGTCAACAAAACCAAAATACAACCGACAGAATGGAGGAAGATATTTGCAAATGACATATCAGATAAAGGGCTAGCATCCAAAATCTATAAAGAATTTATCAAACTCAAAACCCAAAGAATAATCCAATCAAGAAATGGGCAGAAGACATGAACAGAGATTTCTCCAAAGAAGACATACAAATGGCCAACAAACACATGAAAAAATGCTCCACATCACTTGCCATCTGGGAAATACAAATCAAAACCACAAGTAGATACCACCTCACACCAGTCAGAATGGCTAAAATTAACAACTCAAGAAACAACAGTTGTTGGCAAGGATGCAGAGAAAGGGAAACCTTCTTACACTGTTGGTAGGAGTGCAAACTGGTGCAGCCACTCTGGAAAACAGTATGGAGGTTGCTCAAGAAGTTAACAATAGAGCTACCCTATGACCTAGCAATTGCACTACTAGGTATTTATCCAAAGGATACAAACATAGTGATTTGAAGGGACACATGCCCCCCAATGTTTATAGCAGCAATGTCCACAATAGCCAAACTGTGGAAAGAGCCAAGATGTCCATTGACAGATGAATGGATAAAGAAGATGTGGTATATATATACAATGGAATATTATGCAGCCACCAAAAAAAATGAAATCTTGCCATTTGCAAAAATGTGGATGGAACTAGAGGGTATTATGCTGAGTGAAATAAGTCAATCAGAGAAAGACATGTATCATATGATCTCACTGATATGAGGAATTCTTAATCTCAGGAAACAAACTGA